TTGCGCACCAGGCGATGCTCCTCACCCCATGTCCATCGCATCAGGGGATCAAAGCGATGTGTGTTTTCCCTGCGGACAAGATTGTGTCAGCATCGTTGGCCGCATGGCTCGACCTGCAAAGCTCGGAGGGTTCGGGACTCACCAGTTATCCCGTGGTCTGTATTTCTCTGCCGTGTCCGGGTCGTCGAAGACACTTGCCTGTAATGCCGATTAGTTGCGGTGCTTGGCCGCTTGGGAAGACCTCGGCGAGCGGCTTACCTGAGTCGCGATAGCATCGGGATCATAAGTCCTGGCTCGCTGGAAAAAGAAACGCCTCTCCTCTTTAGGGACGCCGAGAGGGGGGGTGCTATTGACCGACAGGGTCGAGGCGTCAGGTCCCAGCTTGTCGTCACGGTCTGAGTCGGACCTCTCGACCCTGGTGGCCTTTTCTCTGACAAGTACCGTGGCCATTTTGGTGGTTCGTTCACAGTGCAGGAAATACACAGATTGTTTGCACAACAGCCCGGTGAGTATGACTCCTGCTCGTTGCACGGAACAGCACCGACTTCAGGTATGGCGGTCATCCGGGATAACGAGTCATTCTTATGCCCGCTGTGTAATAGGAGAGATCAATAACAGAATTCCGGCATGGAGCTATCGCCGGCGCCAAGGTTGAACATCTTTGATGGCGACCAAAGGCCTCACTATCACGTATTACATGTGCCAGGGTTTACTCCGCCGAATGGGAAGTGAGCATCTACGTACCTCTTCGTGAAACAGAAAGGTCAAGGAGCATGCCATTGAAAAAGATTGGGCGTCTAATGCAGAGTCTGCTTCTCGTTGGGTGTTAAGCTCGCCACTTTCACAGCACTGCATCTCGGAGACTGCGGCGAGGTGTGGGTGAGGTTGTTCTGGCCCGGCCTTTTGCTGCTCGCTGGCGCGCCACAGAGTGAGAAGGTGCTTTGTCGGCTTGGGCTTGTTTTGGAATTGGCCGAGATCCTTGGGCTGTCACGATCCTCAGGCGATGGACTCTGTTGAAATTGAATCAAGAACTTCCTCCATTGCTCGTTCCCAAGGCCAGGCTGGGTTCCAGACACAGCCTGTGTAGATTGAAGCCGAGACCGCGACAACTTTGAGAGATCAGTAGATGATCGAGTCTCGTCCACAGTGAAAGAATCTCCCAGGGGCTCGAAGAAGCCAGAGTGACAGGCTACTAGGTAGCTTTTACCTTGGCCATGCCAAACTACCGCCCGGCACTGAAGTCGAACCAACATCATTATTACCGCTAGCAAAGCAAGGACGAGATACTATGGTGGTCATTGCGTGACTGGATTGGTTCGCAAGGTGTCGATTCAAGACGGAGCCTCGGAATTTCCAATGCCGCTCCAATTATGATGTGACACTTGCTTGTATCTTGGCACCCCTCGGGATGGGAACTGTGCAGGTACCTATTTCATTGCCATTGCCGGCTCTTTTACCCAAGGCGGTGGCTCCAAGGTAGAAGCGGAGAAGGGGTCGTGTTGAGCAATAATGGCGTGATGAGACGTGCTCACGTCGTGTTCTTGACGCGACTTTTCAACGACGCCGGTAGACTCCAAAATCGATAATAAGGACGGATTTGATTGGCTAATTCCGGGAGATTTCAAAGACAACCATGTTGATCGCGACAACATCCAGCACCATGTTCGACATGTTTTGTTCCACTGTCGTGCATGTGGCCGACACACGAACACTGCTTCTCAAGCACCTGCGATACCGGCTGCTGAGGAACACCCGCGACGTCCAAAAGACCCAAAGGGTAGGTAGGTAGGTACGCCAGCCGAATCGGGTACTCTGTAGATAACTACGTAGTGGTGAGCACCTCGAGTTCTTAACTCCGGCCTAAACCCCCAGAGAGAGATACAAGCGGTCAGTGGTGTCATTTAAAGCGCAATGGCGGCATATACTATTCAAGATCTCGCCATTTTCAGCTTCCTTTGATTCGACCGTCGCTGTCGCCCAAGCTGAGGGGATGTTTGAATGCAACCCCAGTGGGAAGCAAAAAACGGCGGGGTCGGATTTGGATAGCATGGAAGTGTGTGATACCGAGACCTTACGTGATGGCGTCGCGGATAAGGATCCCAAGAGTTCATGGGTGTTGCACATGGCCTGTCCAATTAAACATTACTTATAAAGACCTCTACCTTCCTGTTCGAGAATCCATCTCTTGCTAAACGTATCTTTATTCGCGACACAGAACCGTGCCCAAAATATTCTTCCAATATTTGAAACACAAACACAGAGGTCGCGATCTGTCCACAGGCAACAAGTCAAGGCATCATGGCCCCTTCAGCTGTTGAGGTTGACTCTGCCACGAGCACCAAAGCGTCTAGCCGCCAACCCTTCAAGCTTTCGGGAGCCCTCGATTCGTACGAGTCCTTTGAGGTTACCCCGGTCATTGGGCGCGAGTACCCCAAGGCGAAGCTGGTTGAGTGGCTTGATGACCCCAACTCGGACAAGCTTCTTCGAGACCTTGCCATCACAAGTATGTCATTGACCCGTTTATCTGGCTGACATCTCGGCTAACAGAATACAAAACCAGTCTCGCAGCGGGGTGTCGTATTCTTCCGCGCCCAGGACGGGCTGACAAACGACCTGCAGAAGAAGTTGATTGTTCGACTGGGAGAGCTCACGGGGCGGCCAGCCACGTCTGGTCTCCACATCCACCCTATCCTGAACTCGGAGCGCGAGTTGGGCGGCAGCGACCCCGAGATCAGCACCATCAGCTCGGTGCAGAACAAGAAGTTCTATAGCCGCGGCGTTGCTGAGGAGCTTAGTCCCAAGAAGCAGAGCAGCGCACAGTGGCACAGTGACATTGCCTTCGAGCCAGTCCCTGCCGACTACACCTCTCTCCGACTCGTGGACCTGCCTAGCACTGGAGGAGGTAATTGCATGCTCCAAAGCCACCCGTTTCTTTTTGCTCTCTCTTTGTAAACAAGATTCGGGTTTTGACACCATCTCCACTCCAGACACCCTTTGGGCATCAGGCTACGAGATCTACGACCGCATCAGCGAGCCCTATCAAAAGTTCCTCGAGTCGCTGACGGCGACCTTTGAGCAGCCGGGCTTTGGCAAAGTGGCAGAGGCCGCCGGATTCAAGTTGTACGACAAGCAACGCGGCTCCCCGCTCAACGTTGGTAGCGAGCTAAAGGCCATCCATCCGGTGGTCAGAACTAACCCGGTAACGGGATGGAAGAGCATCTTCCCCGTCGGCGGCCACGTCAAGCACATTAACGGCCTGACCGATGAGGAGAGTTCCAAGCTTCTCACCTGGTTCTTGGATCTCGTCTACAAGAACCATGATTTACAGGTTCGGTTGAAGTGGCAGAGCCCCAATGATATTGGTAGGTACCTTCGAGTCCCATCCCCCTTCTCGGTTATCCCAAGAATATCCACGATATTAACAGTGCACTTTGCGTTACCCTAGCTATATGGGATAATAGGTCCGTGTTCCACTCAGCCACATTTGACTATGACGGGTACGGTGACCGCTTCGGTAACCGGGCTGTTGGGCTTGGTGAGCAACCGTATTTTGACCCGAATAGCACTTCGCGGAGAACCGCCCTGGGCCTGGTTTAAAGAGACAGCACAGAAGGAGTCTCATGCCGTTTTCAACTCTCTTTCGCAAGTAGTGGCATTGAATTTTATATATTTCGACCCACCTTTGTAGGGTAGTTAGGTATTCAAGTACAGCCCATTTATCCAGCTTAGAGTGACTACTTTAGCAACTTTCACAATCCTACCTTTCAAACTTGTTTTCATTTACTACTCATTCTTTCGACGTAATCTAAGCTAGACTTAATTCAGCACTGGTTAATTTATAGGCAAATCGATCAGGAACAGACAGTTGTAGATACTAATTCCAAGGGTGAATGAGGAGGTTTCGAAGGAGACCCTTTGGCTGCTCCTCTCTGAGTCTTAACCACCAGGAGAATTGCTAGTCGGCTTTGGGAAAAGAAAACACTCGGCCTCGAGAAATATTTCCAATCCGACTTGTCAACGAAAACCACTTCAATTGCTAACCACACAGCTAAATGTAACTGCCTTTATGAATGCGCATGCCAAAACAACCGCGCAATTGCAAGGAATTCACTGCACTATTGCACGTATTATTAGGACCTCATTTAACTGTACCGTCGGCAGTTAAAGTAGTTTTCAGTCTGACTTCAGGAATAAAAACCACCTTTTTAAAAGCTTTAACCACAATTATTAACAATGTTTAAGCTTGCAATTTGACAATGCGTAGACGGAAAGAATCGCGCAATGGAGAGCAATCTTCTGCAGTAGGGACCGTGCTTTTTGGACCACGTTTGGCTGTGTGGTTAATAGGTAATTTAAGCCGCGTGGCCGGCGGTTGAAGTCGTGTTATTGAGAATGTGAGAGATGCCGACGAGGCAGCAAAACGCAGCTTCAATTGTCCAATTACACAGCTAAATGCAGGCGAAAATACATGCTTTTTATTATACGAGATGCTCTCAATTACGCGACTCTTTTTATATAAGTTCGTAAATACGACTTTCTTTAGCTGTATAGTTGGCAGTTGAAGGTGGTGTTCGTTAACAAGTCGGATTCGTGTTTTCCAAAGCCTGTAATGGGCTAAGGTAGTATATTTGCAACTAGCTAGGCCTTTGCTACGAAGACGCAAAACATGAGAAGAGAAAAGGAGGAGAAATTGGGCAGCTCCTTGAGAGCTGCATCTAAATGTACACGACTGCGTTAGGCCCGCCAGAAATGGAGAAAAGATTCCAGATATGTCGGCGCGCGTTTAAGGGATAGTATTGTGGTCCGTGTATGCGTTTGGTGTTTTCTGGGAATAGCTTCAACATGGGTGGACAGCCAAGGGTTGCCGAGGCCACTCCAGGGCTCAGCTCGTTACAAAGCCGACTAGCAATTCTCCTGCTGTAGAGGTTGAGACTTAGAGCTGTTAAGCGTCATATAGGGTAAAATTTAAAAATATCAATTATTAAAAAGGTTCTTCTTACGGTCAAATAGCGCAATGGTAGCGTGTTACTTTCCGGTTAACATCCTTGGTAAAGGTTCTGGGTTCGAGTCCCAGTTTGATCGTTTCTTTTTTAAACTTGCTCTTAAAATTTAACGATTTATCCACCTACGTTACTTTCCGGTTATTCCTAGTTAGTAAAGGCTCTAAGCTCGAGCCCTAGCTTAATCGTTTCTTTTTAAACCTGCTTCTACTAAGTTTTTACATAAGTAATATTTGTTTATTTTTTATAAAAAGATATTTTAAAACTATAAAAAAAGGTATTGGAACTATAAGCTATACATAATCCTAACCTACGCGACTTCCGCACTAGCACCATCTTAGCCTAAGCTTACCTGTAGATGTCCTACAGTTCCGATACACCGTTTCCTACAGTTCTAAAATACCTCCTCTTTTACAACAGAAGCAAGTGTAAGGAATCCGATGGTTGTCTTATGATGAACATGTCAATTGGTAATTTCTCTCGATTTCATCCATATCTTAATTTTGATTTGTCCAGTACTATTATTGAATCCCGCTCACCAAAAAATCCCACCAGTGGCCGGTGTAACCACCAAGACCATTCTTGGCCAAGAACCCATCCAGGAGCTTCGCCACCTTGTCGTTATCCAGGTCGGCAAACGGGATGTGGGTGCTTCCGATAAGTCCAGCGTCGTCACCCAGCATCAGGACTTCTGCATTTCCGCCGTACTGATTGATGAGGGCAGCGCAGAGAAGCGATTGCTGCACATACTTGTCACTGCGCGGCCGGTGATCGCCCCATACGAACTGTATCGCCTTGACTTTGGCCAGTTTCTTGAATTCGTCGAGCGGCACGACAATGGGCCCAAAGCCGCCAAACGAGTCTTGGGTGATGTTGAGCCCGGCCGGGTAGACATAGCCGATGCTCTCATAGGTCACGATGCCCTTGATGTTGGTCGTGTTGCTCCGGATGGCCGTCAGCTGGGCACGCAGTCCGCCGGCCGAGTTGGTCAGATAGACTATGTGATCGCCGACCTTGCCCGAGTCGGCGGCCACGGCGGCAGCGTGGGCATGGAGAAGCACGTTCTCGTATGTGTCGAACTCGTCGTACCGGGCACTGGTGGCCTGCTGCCATGCATTGGGGTCCTTGGTGGGGAACTGCACGTCTGGCCACCAGTTCATGAACGAGGGCCCAAAGTTCCAGGCAGCAAAGTTGCCCTGGTCGCGGTACTGGGGAATGTAGGTGATAGGGCGGCAACTCCAGTTGGCGCGACCGACGCGAGGCCCGTCCCAGAGGTAGACAGGATAACCGCGGCGCAGAAACATGTCCTTGTAGCCCTGCCCACCGTCCCAGCGGTTCTGCCACACCTGCGTACTGGAGCTATGCCACATGACCAAGCTGGTTTGGCGCGGCGTCCAGGGAATGAAGTACTCCATGTATCCATGATCGCACGACAGCGTCTGGTTTGTGTTGTTGGGGTTGTGGATGATGGTGCCGCCTATCTGGAAGCCCCCCGACCTGTCAAGAATGATGGGCTCCTTCCAGTCTCGAAGGGACGACGCTGCATTAACTGGTGTTGTTGTGGCCAGCAGCAGTGGCAACATCATTGCTATGGCGAGCGTTGATCCCGAATGGGAACCATGCTGTCGGGCATGTCTGCCGCTATCTTGCATCGTGATTTCCACAGCCCTATAGAAGGGGGACAATTTTGTCGGTCACCGACAACAACACAAGCTATCCAATGTCCCGTCCCAGGCAAAGGATTGCGCGGTGCTGGAAGGGCGGCGTCGAGACAACCTGGATCGATTGAGGGCACTGGGGTGGTGGGCTTCTTCTCCATTGTTCCAAGTTCTCTGCTCGGAGGGCAGGAGAGCATCAAAGATATGGATACAGAAACCTTCGCACAGAGCAGTGTGTGAATTATGTGTAGTAGGTAATAGGTAAGATAATTATGGCTGATTGAAATCATCCAGATTGACAGTTCATTTGGATACGAGGATGCTGACGTCTTAACACGCCGGCATTCGAGGTCGAATCGTGTCTTGGCGTCTGGACGGAAATAATCAAACGTAGTTTATATTCGCTCACCCGACAAGTTTCCCCAGCTGACCGGTAATGGTAATAGTAGTAATATGGTAGGGGCCGGTAGAGGACAAACATCCCTCGCCGCCTTTCCGAGTTTCCCCTGTCCAGATAAAACAAAATTGATTGCACAATGCACATTCGTCGAATAGGATCAGTTCTTCTTAATCACGCACATATGCACCCCGCAAGTACGGCTCAAGGTAAGGGGCTGCTCGAACTCCGAGCTACAAGCACAACCACCTCGCACGAATGGTTGGATCTAAATTATCACCTTGGGTGTAATGTCATTTATATTTTCTTGGCATGAACAAGTGAAAAATAAGGGTGGACGGCCAAAGTCTTGTCATCCGTGTACCGTGTGACGACCCCATTGTGCTCCCTTGAAATTTGCGACAAAATCTTTACCGATGACGCGCATGGAAACCCTGCATCCCTGCGTCGATTAGGTGTACTGGGTGAAGGTACTTGACAACCTTTATGCTGGTAACCAAACTTTCAGTGCCTACCACCGTCTGCAAGGTTCGGGCGGCCACCAGCAATCTACTGTGGTGGTATGATTGGAGAATCTCTTACTGCGCCGCACACTGAGCCAGTGAAGAAGGGATATTGGGGGATGACCCCGGCATTCACTCTCGGCATCGCTGTCAAAACAAGTGCGGGCCGATGTCGAGGGACTATGTAATGCCCTTAGCTGGGCGGCGCGGACGCAAGAGTTGCATCTGCCGGCAGCTCAGGCAGCTCAGGCGTTGTCCAGTTGTCCCGCTTGGCCACGGAATCCATTACATGCTGCGATCCTGCCTTCCCCACGGCCAGTTTTAATCTCTTGGCCGCCACATTGGAACTGAACAAGGCTACATGTGGCCTCGTTAAACATATTTGCCTCATGACCGGCCCATTGATCCTGTCAGTCACCTTGCTCCAGGGAAGTCGGTATTACAGAAGTCCCCACGCTGCCCACGCCACCAATCATCCCAAAAAGCCATTGCATCTTCGATATTCTATTGCCAGAACTCGAAGACACGTCCTCCAATCATGACTAAGTGTATATGATGCAAGGTTCAGTATTATGTGTACCGCAAGTTTAACGAGGGTTTATCACCTATACAGTACCCGTGATTTCTGGTGGACATCGCGAGGCCGATTCATTCGACTCGTCACCGGTCCTGCCCAAATCCGATGACCTCTTGTTGACAACCCCTTTCACAGTAAGTGGTTCTCGACTGAACAGGAACAAAGCGGCCAGAAGCGCTGCGCCGCTAAACCCGGCGAGGAGTCGGAACTGTTTGTTATACCCTTCCGCAAATGCGTGCTTTACTTTAGTTGCCTGTTCAGGACCCGGCAAGTTGATCGCTCCCAGGGTTTCACCAATCGTCTGGAAACCAGCTTGAGTAATGACCCCGCCGAGGCTCTCTTTGAGATGATTGCCGAGAATCGCAGAGCTATACCATGTCGCTCACCCGCTGTCAGTACTTGGTGCTTGCCTGTCTCTCCAACAGAAAGACATCTTACCATATCGCCAGGGCAACAGTTCCTCCGAGCACCCGAGTCTGGGTGAGGGCGCCCATGACAACACCTGGACACGTGAAGTTAGGCACACATATAAGCCCCAGAAGCTGTCAAGTGAAGCGACTCTTACCTCATCTTCCTTGCTCACGATCAGTTGACATAGCGTCAGAACTGTACTCAACGTCAAACCAAAAGCCGACTCCCATCACGGCCTCGGAGCCGTATTGCTGCGCCGAGATATGATCCCCAGTCAATGGTATTTTGATTGCAAGTCCCGCCCCAGTGAGCTGTATCACCGACCCAAGAAGAATGAGATGAGATGGAGGGATGTTGACATTCGACGTCAAAACACCCGAGGCTGCGGTTGCCGCGGGTAATTTTAGCAGCAACGGTAGCACTGACAGACTAGCACGGGCCGGAGAAAGTCCATATACGGCTTGGGCGTGTTGCGGGATGATGAATAGGATGGCAACAAAAGGGAATCCAATGAATAGCGTAGTACTAAGTATGGAGGAGGATCAGAGACATGGAAGCAGCAGACAGAGGGGGCGTAAAATGTACGTACAACATCATGCTAGCAAGAAGTCAATTTTTTAAGAGACCCATCGGGAATATGGGCTCCTTTGTGGCCTTGGTCCGCCCCAGATAGATCTCCCAAGCGACAAAGGCGACCCATAGCACACCGCACAATACCAAGATGGATACTATGGTCCCACTATCCCAAGGGTATTGAGAGCCACCCGATTCAAGGGCGAAAACAAGCAGAAAGGCTGACAAGAGGGAGAAGGCCCCTGAAAAGTCGACCCTTCGTGTGCTTTCACGAGATAACTTGGCTCGCAATCTCCTCGCAAGGCTCGAGCTGCTGTCGACTTGACTCGAGGGCATGAAGATGGCGATTATCACGATGCTCAACACTCCGGGTGGGCCACTTATAGTAACGGCGGATCAGCATTTTCAAAGTCCAGGAGACAGACAAAAGCACAGCGTGAAGTCAAACTTACTTGAGTAGGAAGACCCATCTCCACGTGGTGTCACTTGACATTGCACCTCCGGCCAGAGGTCCCGAAATGCTAGCAAGAGCAAAGACGGACGAGATTATCCCGACGTATTTTCCGTACTCAGTTTGAGGGACCAGCTTGGGTGCGATTGCCAGAACCATTGAGTAGATTCCTGAACCACCAATACCCTGAAACGCCCGCAGGATGATCCTGGCATGCATTCAATAGCTACAATCAGTCCAAGTCTAACGCATGACGAGCAACAGGCAGCCATATAGGTATCTGAATTCTTGAGTGTTTAGGGTTCGCATACAGCTGGGTCATGGAGCTCGCGCATCCGTAGGCGATCAAGAAGACGGTGAATAGGGTCAATGCTAAAAGAAACATGGTCTTGGATCCAAAAATAGTGGCGAGCTTGGCATATATGATGAGGAAGCCTAAATTGCGGTCGATTTATTACAAGTGGTTTAGGTCAGAGAAACAGCCATGGTACCTAATCAGCTTCTGAAAGGGG